AGAGCAAGTAATGCCGAATTCCCATTAACATCCAACACCTTTAGAAAAAATGGAACCCTGAGCAACTTTTTACAAATTAACTAACCATTAAAAATAGTTTTATACCATAGCTTTAATATGAGAAGGGGGTAATCACTCCGGTTCTTTTTCGTTCAACTTTGTAGAGCGCATCAAGCTGTATATCCCCTGAAGTGTTTTCGATGAACCGACTGGTAATTGGTGAGATAAGAATTTTTTACGAATTTCATACGATTTTGATCCTCTATTTAAAAAATTTATTAAAATTCAAAATTAAAGCTAGAACTCTTATTGTTACGCAGTTGGACAGCGCACATTAAGTGACATATACCCACAAGTTATAATGAAAATTGAACTAACTGTGTCAGAAAATTAACAATTTTTATTCTAGTGTAGTTTAAGCCCTTAAAGTAATTTTTTGAAACTTATGGACGCATTTCAGAAACAATGAAGGATTTTGAAGAAAACGTTTCGCTGACAAAGTTGTTCAGGATAATCCTCTTCATATGCTAAGCGGAGCACTTTTTTCATTTTAGTGGGAATATTTTGGAATAAATTAGAAATAATAAATTTTGAGCTTTAAATTTATTTCAAATTAATAGAAGTTGCATTGGTTTTAAAATTTTCCCGCTAAAATGGAAAAAGCGCTCCGCCTGGGATTATCCTGAACAACTTTGTCAACTGAACAACTTTCATCAAATATAGGATTTCACTAAGTGTTTGAATCTTTTCCGAAAACCGAACATTGTCACGAGACTCAGCCTGATGGATAACCCATGTTTCCATTCGTTTTCGAGATTACCACACCTAAGGAAATATCGATCGTCAGGCTTCGCGAAAACAACCCATGACAAAATGACAAATTGAAAAACAAAATACAGGATTTTGTAGCGCTTGAGTAGCAGATACGAAAAAAAGGATGATTTAAAAAATAAAAGTTGCATAGTTCTGTCAGTCGCATTCATTTTCTTTTATATAGTAAAACTCTTACCTTTTTATCTATAACAACAGCTAAACAATGTGCAACATGCACACTCATATATGGATCAGCATAAGAATCATTTCGGTTTGTCCAATAACCAAATCCACCATTCGAATATTGACGAGCTTTTAGTACATTCATATCTGATTCTAATTTGGTTTTTAATATTGATATTTCAGGTAGATCTTTACAATGAAATGCTTGTAAAACATCCCATAATGCTTGTATACCTAATAATCTAGAACTAATTTGTTCTGTACAATCATATGGATATGTATATAATGAAATAATTGCATCTGTCAATGATGCTAATGCCGTTGAACTTGTTGATATTGATAATTCACCAAATTGTGGAATAACATCTTTTGGTGTTTTTATTGGTTGTACAATCACTTCTGCACCACCTACGTCACCGTACGTTGCAAATGCTTCCGATGTTGCTGGTGTAAATACAGGTAAACTTAGCTCGATTGCATCTCCAAATGATGCAGATGTTTTATTATTAACAGTACTAATTAAAAACTGAAATCGAGCTATACCAGAATGGACTGTTGAAACTGAAAATGTAACAACAACTCGTTTACTTGCTTTTAAAACAATTGAATAACCAATTCTTTCTTGATTTGTTTCGGATGTTAATAATTCGGCATTACTTGCTCTTAAACCAACATGTAATGGTAATGATTGATCAGTTTGATTTTGTAGAATAACTGAGAAATGAGCTTTATCACCATAGTTTAGAAATCTTGGTGGTGATGGTCGAACCATAACGGGTAATTGTACAGTAAATAATGTTTCACCTAAACCATATTGTTTATCATTAGCTGCTAATGCCCATACACGGTAGCGTGTTAGATTATCAGGTAACTTAACTTCAAAGGTAGCATGTCCTGATGAACTGGTGATTGCTGACGGTATCCAATGTGCTAATGGATTGAAGTTCGATCGAACAGCTATCTTTTGTTCTCCATCACCACCTCGAGCTTCACGTCTATAATAAGCCCTTAGTGAACCTTCACATTGCTTCTCAACGTATTGCATTCGCATCTCTGGTTGATTAAACTGAGCTTGCCTTTCTTGTATATCTTTCTTAAATTTTTCTATATCTTGCATATTAAATAGTAAACAACGATCTCTACCGTGATATTGTATTATATTTGTTGATCGAACAGGATAAAATATATCTAATGGACTCAATAGTGTATGACCAGTTAATGATAAAATTGCTTCGTCAACCATAATTAGACACACTTCTACCTTGTCCACAGCTGCATTATTCGTATGTTGTGTAACATCAACACCTATATGAATAATAGATGATGGTGTAAATGATTCATCTGTTTCTTTTGTATTTATTAAAACATTTAGTTTATAAATATCTCTTGATACTTATAATGATACTGAACCAGTAGCAATTGCTGGACGATGCAGTGAATCAGTTACTTCTATTTCTCTTGGAATCGAGCCTGTTAATTCAGCATGAACTGTAAATCCTGGTATCCAATCTTTTGATATTCTAAATTCAACAGTTGCTGAATCTTTACCAGATTCTATCTGAAATTGTATTGGTTGTGAAACTTGACCATCACAATCTAATATAACTAAACCACTAGCAGGACTAAATGGTGCTAGTATTAATAATTCACATATGTCATTTGGTTGATAATGTTTTGTTTCATTTGGAATAATTGTTATTGTATCAGTTGGAATAAAATCAACTTTTTGTTTTTTTATTTCGTTTTCATAACCACCCGAAACGTAATAGTTGTCATAGAAACTCATAGTTAATCGACCTTGTTCATCTTTGACACTATATGATATATTGTAACTACCGCCTAACAACAGATGTGAAACAGAAATTAGAAAGTGTTGTAAAAAGAAGCAAGTTCTAACTGCAAATCTCTTTATGGCTAGACTGAACTTTTATTAAAAGAAAACTCCTTTATTTATTTAGTTGCTTGGCTGTTTACGTTTTCAAGAAAAAAGGAATAATCCTCTATTAAACATTTTGCTCGATTTTTCTTCTCTTTGACTAAAGTAAGTAAAGTGTCAACAAAGTTTAAAATCTGAGAAAATTTGCCTAGCCTTTTTAATATGCTAGTTCATATAACCAGACAATCAAAGACGCATATGAAAACTAACGCATATTTTGTGCCGCAGCTTTCAAACATATTCTACAGCACAAGATGAGGCAGTACAATCATTTCTATAATACTTTGTTATATGTGCATTCAGAGTTGTGCAGATTAATATACTGGATGGAGTGAGTGTCTTCAGACCTCAGTCTTTAAGGGGTGTAGTTTTTGACGTTTAGGTTTAGTTATAATGAGTCAGAATAAAACTGAAAAAGCATCATTTATGTAGCTAATATATGACTGAAAACATACAGAACTATTATACACGTTCATCTTCATACGCTAATTTAATTAGTCTGCTTGAAAACATTTTAGTATATAAAACCAGACTCTGATAAAGCTTGCTTTTCATTTTACCATCACAAAACAAATATTTTACCTAATTTTGGTGTAAAATCAATATTAACTGCATCTTTATTTGAACTAACAATTGTTAGTGTTTAGTCATCTTTCACTTGTTCAAATACTATTAAACCATTCTCATCTTCGTTTTTTTCATTACCATTTCCAATTACCTTACACTCAATCAAAACATTATCAATTAAATTTCCATCAATATCTGTTACAATGACTTTTGTTTGTACAGGTTTATCTTTCTTGCCATAATTTGATATTAATTTAAATCCAACATAATATGTACATGGATGTATGATAAACTCTGTTTGTGTTTCTTGTGTTTGATAATTTAAGTCAGTAATGGCTGCTAATG